AGATCTTGATTATGGCTAATAAATATGCATGACAAAATTGGGACCAGAGAAAAAAGTCCGGATAATTGAGAAATTCGGACTGCCAAGGTCTGGATAATTGAGGTTCTACTATACAAGGGAAGTGATCACCAATTAAAAAAGCTTTTGTTTGTTAACCAAATTCTCCTTCTCAGTGCCTTACGAAATGTGTAGAGAATATATGGAGAATATGCACACCCATGTAAGGTGCAACGGGTCAAACTTGTACATATGGAACTTGATTTAGTGTGAACTGGAAAGGTGTTTATCAGATCTGACTAAGCACAGTTGCACTGTTTCAGATTTTCAGAGCCACACTGACTATAACTTCAAGCATCAACATGAGTCATCAAGTTTAGGTTAACAAGGGCTGGATACCGATGGTGTTCTGCTGCCTGGGAGACCTCTTGCGTCTCTGGCAGAGCTGCCTACATGCATAGCACCATCGGCAGCCGCTAATGAAAAATGTGATGGAAATCCCAGGGTTACCACATCAGGGTTCATTTTCTAGTTATTGAAATACTCCAAGAATAAATCTGTGCCAAGTCTAAGATAAACGTACCTTAACTTGTGTGTGGTATCCAAGAAAATTCATGAAATACAATAAGAATACATGCATTTCAGTAAAAAATATATACAAAAAAAATTAAAAAAGGCAAAAAGAGAGCTTTGCCACCTGCTAACCCTCTCACTCCTCACTCCCAGATCTCATTAGTAACTCCCTTTACTGTCTGCCTTACAATTCTTATGATGTTAGTTTTGAGATTTTGGTTTTGAATCAACTGATAAACCTCTGATTGTCTTTTTACGTTATTCTCATCACTAGTGTGCTTGATATTGTACCGATATTGTACGGAGAAATTCTCTCTTGGTCACTCATTGGAGTTACAGGGTAAAAGAGTTAAACATATTTTTAATTATTTCGATCTATTGATGACAACAGAGCTATTTTTTAAAGAAAAGAAAAAGAAAAAAAGAAAGCTACGATGGGAATCGAAAGTTAGGGAGAGAGACACATTTGCATGGCGAGTCACAACCAAAGCTTGTTTTCTACTCTTACTGTGTTTCAACTGACACCAATTCATAATTTGTCATCGGCCTGGTTGTAAGAACTGCTGTAAATTCAGAAATAACGCGAATGGATATGAAATCATTAGGATCGAGTGTCAGCACAAGCACAGCTGTTCCTCTAGTTTTGTTGCGTCGTAGACTGGAGACAAAAACACAACGGGTTGTCTGATTTATATCACAATGCACTTCCACGGGTCAACAACTTTAATAGAAGTCGAAACAATTACAAGTAGTTTTGACCGGCTGATAATCAAAGATTCTCAGACGAGCTTAGGATAACTCAACTTTGACAAACTGAGAATAAGTAGTAACCTTAACTTTTTGGAAAATTGTTTGAAGTTTTCTGATTAATCAAATTTAGTCCTGAAGCAGATAATTGAGCTTTGATTTTAAATATATATATATTTGGACCTATCTTTATAAAAGAATCATTGTTTTTAAAAAGCAACCTACCCGTGTGAGAATATGAAACAGGTACTTTCCATATACTGACATGTGCTGTTATTGCAGCAAAAGCCTTTCCAAAGGAAAGTGGTAAGATCAGTTTAAGAAGACTTGATTTCGGTAAAGATTTCATAGGAGGCACACTCCACACGCGAAGAGTTGGCGACAAATAAAGAGCTGTTGAGACGACTTGAACCATGGCTACGGTGACAGGGAAAGGAAAATCCGTGAGTATTTTTTTCCCGATGACATTGTTCGTTGAACTGATCGTGTACCACAACGAGCACAGAAGAACTATTCGCAATGCTTCCGATCCAAAGCTCGCGGCCATGTCTTCGATCGGCTGAACATGCCGGTTTTCGACACGTCATAGCCATGTAGCCACGCTTCCGGTTTGAAAATGTTCTATTTACTTCCGGCAATCTCAGCTTTCTCTCCAAACATCCTGTCAGACACCTTTTTCGATGCAGCTTCGAGGCGACATCCTGTAAACAGATTCCTCAAAAATGTACCAACGACAGGTCATTTTATATGTATATCTGATAGTTTTGTCTTTTAGATCGTCTTCTAAAGCGGATAAAGTTGATAAAAGAAGGAATGTTTTGGTTTTCATCGGAGACGATGCCGGCTTCGAAACACAGGTTTACAACAACACGGTTTGCAAGACCCCCAACATCAACGCATTAGCAAAGCGTAGTGTAATTTTCAGAAATGGGTACACTTCTGTGAGTAGCTGCTCTCCAAGCAGGTCAACGATATTAACAGGTAAGAAAATCTGTCTATTAGGAAATATTTGGTGGTAGCTTGAGAGACAAACCGTATGGAGAACAATTTCGTGCAGGGGGTGGGTCACATGATCTAAGATCACAAGGTGGACATAGGAAAATTCAAAGAAGGGATGCTTTTTTATCTGGACCGCAGAAATTTGTTCATTTAGATATATTTGTACTCTAAATTGTGCACCAGTGATCCGGAGTTAAAAAGCTCAAAGCTGCAATGAAATCGGTCACGTTAAAACGTAGACTGCTGAGACCGCAGACCGTGCGATGTTTCTGGTTTTGTTTGTTTTTTTTGTTTTTTTGTTTTGTTTTGTTTTTTTTTAACTCTGGTTTGCATATGATCAGGGTGTATATGTTGTAGTTCAATTTTATCAAACTCATTATAAACATGACCGAGAACAAAGGAAAATAAGATTTGAACTAAGTATAAAATTGAACTACAACATATACACCTTTTTCTTGCTCATTTGGTGATGTTGGAAGTAAACGGTTCCATTTTCTGGACACTACACAGGGGGACATGGGAGGTTCTGAATGCAAAATTAATGTATGGGGTTACATGGTACTCTTGCCATATTTTCATCCCACTGACACCTTGATATTAAAAAAGTCTAAGGATTTACATGGTCTGGTTTAATTCAATCATCTTTACCACTTACTGGTCAATGGCTGGCTAAGAGTGCATGTGGTAGAGGTCCAGAGGTCAAGTAATATATTAACGAACACAGCCTGGGAATAATCAGCTAATGTGTAATTAAAGATTAACTTAGTTGTTCCACCACAGATTATCAAAAGCTAGTTTTTAAGAGGATTAAAGAATACACTGCAACACCAGAAATGGTTTATTTCACTGAACACTGGTGATTCATAATTACAAACATTTTTAACTGTAAGGTTTGAGGTCACCGCAATGTCATGTTGAAAAAGGATCAATGCTGCAACACCGCCAACCCCCATATCCCCGTCACTACATGATGTAGTTTTTTGAGGTTATTTTGAGCTCATGCTGCCAAGCAACAATTTGGAAGAATGCACAAGTAACATACAATTCCCTAGTCTGCACAGTAGCCACAATAATAGTAATAACAGTAATGATAATAATAATAATAGTAATAATAATAATTTAATTCTTATTTTGCACACTTTCCATGAAATGATGAAGCGAGCATTACATCTCAATACTAGTCATTAAAAATATACTATGATAAAATTAAAGTATACACCATATGTTAAGATACTAGCAACTATCATGGTAAGATTTTAATAGAAATTAATTAAAAGCCTCCTTTAAAAGAGGTGCATTTTCAGGTGGCACTTAAAAAAATTGCTAGATCTGTAATAGAACGAATCTCATGCGGTAATGATGCATTCCAAAGTGCCCGAGCTGTGACCTGGAATGATATGTCTCCTAATGTAACCCTACTTCTATAAGTTGGCATTGCAAGCAACAAATCGTCCAAGGAGGATCTTAATTTATAATTTCCTGGTCTTTTAATTGACACAAGTTCTCTTAAACATGTTGGTGCAATTCCATGGATGCATGGCCTTAAAAACAAATAGCAGAATCTGACGTGTTGCCTAACTGGTAGCCAATGCAGCTCATATAGGAATGGCATTATGCACAGTCTGCATAGTATACAGGTTCTGCAGGGTTTGCATGCTTTGCTGTCTGCATATAAGAATGACTGCAGAGAAATACTATGAACTTAAGCATTCTACCTTTCAAGATAATTATGCATTAATTGAATGTTACAATGTATGTAAACATGATGTCTAGTTTTGGTTGTGAAAATTCTTTAGGGTATGGATAACTTACAGTGAACTAATGTATTCAATTTTCAGCTGGGAAAGTAGCAATGCTGCCAGTTGATTTTTGTTCACCTCCGGCCTCTAGCTGTTACACATTTCCTAATGTCAATCACTTGGCAGAATTTGGTGTTAGATCAAAATAACAACTACCTGATAACTTTGAGTATTCTCATTACCTGTTTGCTGGATAATGTATGGATATTATCGGGAGAAGTTACATGTTAATCACTTCTGGGAGGTAAAGGGTAATGCTTTGTAAATCAGGATGAGCTGTGGTTGTCTGGGCCAAAGGATTCAAGAGGAGACTAAATAGCCCACCTTAGGATAGGATAGTATAACTTTATTTATACATGGTTTTTCCATCAGTTGACTTAGTTAATTCTATACTAGAAACCTATCTATCTAACTACAATAATAATTTGATAATAATTCAAATAAAAGAAGTAAATAAAAAATTCTGCTTTTCATGGAGGCCGTGTCTAAAATTTACTTAAACTGTGGTGACTTAATTTAGATTTGAAATCAGTCAGCGAAGATGCTTGTCTTAGGTGTACAGGTAAGTTGTTCCAAAATTGAGCTCAGCTGTACAAAAAACTTCTCTTGAGATAGTCAGTTCGAGGTTGGGGAAGAACGAATTTGTTTTCGATATTCCTTAAACAATAAGCACTTACACTGTCATGATATACAAATCTTGATCTCAGATAATCAGGTGTCATACCATTTAATGTTAATCTTCTCTTGGAACTTAAAACTACTTTTGTCATGGCTCCAGGTCTTCCACAGCACCAGAATGGTATGTATGGCCTCCATCATATGTACCATCACTTCAACTCATTTGATGAAGTCCAGAGCCTTCCCATGATATTAAATAAGGAGAAAGTGCGGACAGGAATCATTGGCAAGAAACATGTGGGACCTGACTTGGTGAGTACAGCTTGGACCTGTGATAGTGTGAAGTTGATTTGTTTTTGAGCTGCCAATCTCTGTTTATATTCTTTTCTAGATGAGGGGGTTCTCACCTTA